CTCTCTCTCTCTCTCTCTCTCTCTCTCTCTCTCTCAAAACACACATCCACACTCTCTCTTAAATGCTTTGCTAGGTTGTAGTACCTAGCTTATTTGGCTGATCTATAGAAGCTAAGCAAGATCACTCCTCATGAGTACTTGGATGGGAGATTATCATGAAATATCAGGGTTCTATACTAGGCACAGAAGTAAAAAAATATACCAAAAGGACAATGGCAAGTCAAGAAAACTACGTGAAAGTGTCCATTACGTTGCCCCATGAATTGAGCATAATTTTATGTTTGCCTTATCTTCTTAGATAACAGTGTAGCTCTCTGCCCAGCAAAACAGCTCAGGTGCAGCTTGGTTAAACTTTAACCCCATTAAACTTTAATTGCCAGTACAAAACACATGTGCTACGTTCATTGCACAGATGACCAGGTTTGGGGCTGGAATCCTGAACATGCTTATCCAGCTCTGTGCCCTATTGAATAGAATGGGCTTACGTTCTTAGTTAATATTCCTAGGATTTTTATCATCATTCCAGTTTTCTCTCCTGATACTTGTACCACACTAACATTTTGGATATTTTGATTTGTATGTTCTTTCTTTCTTTCTTTCTTTCTTTCTTTCTTTCTTTCTTTCTTTCTTTCTTTCTTTCTTTCTTTCTTTCTTTCTTTCTTTCTTTCTTTCTTTCTTTCTTTTCCTGTCTGATTTGCATTGTTCGTGAAACTTACTTTTTTTTTTCTTTTTCATGTATTATTTTGAATTGTGAAGCTCAACCCTGCCTGAATATGTTAAGGCCAAATCAGTGCTTAGTCAGGATATTTCACTTCTTTCTAATTGCCTTAACTCACATGAATCAAGATTTAAAGGACTGAAGGTTAGGTAAGGTTTCAGACAAAGCATCTTTCCCTGTATTTATTTATTTAGAATAATTGTCTTCGTGGTAGAATATCTTTTTACTTCAAACCAATGGAATTCCATCATTTTGTGTTCTGGTTTTTCTTCAAAGAAATAAAGATACAGATATATTTATTTTGGTATTTTCCTTCCACTTTTTGTATTGGTATTGGCCAGCTTCATTATCCACTGCTGAGCTGTAATCTTGCTTACGAAAGCCAACGAATTGACTTCATAGGATGAGATTACAGTATTTGATACCACTTTATGAAACCAAATTTGGTTTTTTTCCTTTTCTATTTTTTGAACAATCTTCTTGCCATCTTCCATCCAACCTGTTCCATTATATCTCCATGACCCTATTGTGACTTAACATCTTATGTAGAAAGAACATTACTTTGATTTAATATCTAACATGGTTTTCCTTTCTTTGTTTTCTTTTTGTTTTTCTTCTCCTTCTCTTCCATTGGATGCACTGGCACTAGTGAACTGCAGCCCTCGCTTGACAGGGCTAGGAGTGCTAGTACTAACTGCTTGAAGCCTGATACTAGTTTGCATTCACCAGAACAAGAAAGGTATAAAAGAAAGACTTCTCAACTTCTTGTCATTTGTGCTGGTGATCCGTATTACTTTTGTTTCTTTTTCCGTATCAGCTTTATATCTGCTTCACTGATATTATACATGCCTGTTTTCATGTATGTAAATATTTGTTGACTCAACAGTCACAAACGTCATGCTTTTAACATGTTTGATGTGATTATAAGAGCTTCTGGCATCTTCAGCTCTCGTTCACAATTCTTTTTCACTCACGTTCTTGTTTGGTTTGTTTGGTTTTAATGTGTGCCATTGTCGTTGTTTGCAAAAGTCCTCGGTATGCTGATAACAACACTTCATTCACAATTGAGATAGTTTAACTGAACACTACTTTTGTTATTTCTCCTTCTGGCAAAGTGGGAACTGGTCCATGGAAGCTTGGGTAACAATAAATTTGTGTATGTTCAAAGTGTCAGAAACTTCTGTTGTTTTCACTTGACTGACAACACCCACAAATATTGTTAATGTTTAATATATTTAACACATGAGTTATAGATATTGCATATTCAGCAAAATGCCTATTAAAGATTAGAATCTCACTGAAAATGTACTTGAAAAGTGAGAGCGGGGATCCAATATTAGTGGCCCTTCCAACCGTTTGTCAGCAAAATTCTGGTTTCTACTAAAGGAAACGTACATGCAACTGAGCCCAAACACTACTGCTTCTGTTCATCACCTTTCATTGTGTTGTTCAACTACATTAGGAAATAGGGTTCACTTTTGAATGTTTGATTATATTTCTATTATATTTTTTCAATAGACTGGCAAAATACAATGTATTGATATTGATATAATTGTACCTACAGCTTTGTGGTTTGATGTTCCTTCATTTTAGTATGGAAATAATCTATGTTGACAGCATTTATTTTAACATTTTTGGTTTTATGGGACATGCAATACTGAATATAGAAAAGGACCATAGGTGAACAATTAGGCCAGTTTATATCTTGAACATTTTTTGAAATGTTACATATTCTTCAGTTGATGTAAGTCTTGCCAAAATTGCAGCTGGATGACTGCTTGCAAACCCCATTATAAGCATTTCTTGGAAGAAGAGTTAGAATATAAATGTATTTGTCCTTTTCTTAGGGACAATATTAAAAATAACCAGAGCACAAAATTACCTAGATGTTTAAAATAAAGAAGTTAGATTGTTTTTGCCTATAATGGTTTGCAGTAACTAAATACACTAAGAGAAATAATAAAATACAATGGAATTCTAACTTAACTGAAAATCTATTTCTTGTTAGATACCAGATTTACATAAAACAAACTTTGGAAAATATATCTTCCTTATGGGAAATAACATTAGCTAAAAAATTAACCCAACACAGAAATGTCTCAGAGAAGTTTTAGCTATAGATTAATTACTCATATTTGGTCTCCATTTGAATAATTGAATTGAATAATATTATATAAATGTCTTTTTGGACATTGAGTATTCCAAGCTATGTTTTTTTTTTTTTAACAAATACTTGTTTTTGTTTGTTTATTTTTTTATTATGCTGTTTCTTATTTTCAGTGTTGATGTACTGTTTAAATGTAAAAAAAGAAGAAAAAATCTATTTCATATATCAGGGCCTTTGGCAAGCATTTTGAAAAATGACTATGCCATTTTGGGACTGTTTTTAATGATAAAAGAGCAAGGTAGAAATGTAATGAATAAAAATATGTATTAGCTTAAATTTAATATGCAAGGCATTATTATAATAAATAATTATTTCTTATTTTAATTTAATTATAGCTGCTTTTATTTTATTTTAGCAACTATAGAACAGTTGAATGATGCTTGCCAGGAATGAAAGCTACTACAATGAGAGCATGAGCAATGAGCTCAACGCATTCTTCCTTTCCTTGGATTAATCTCTCATGGAAGAATTGAGGATATAAAGAACTATTTCACATTTCTCTTTTTTTGTAAAGGTTGTAGTTATTACATTCAAGACTAGACAAATCTGTAATCCATGTTTTAATTTTTCACATTTCTTATTGTGAAAAAACCAAATCAAGCAAATACCTCTCAAAAATAGAGAATGAGAATTCCTATGAATCCTGTTCTGCACAGGGTGTATATTTATGTCCTCTACATCTAGATCAGTGGTTCTTAAACTGTTTGACCCAATTATCCCTTTTCCCAGTCTCAGATAATGTTATTACCTCCACACACACAAAAACAGACTCTGTTGTTTTACATAGCCATTTTGGCAGTGGCAGTCTCAACCTGGATCCTCAATTCACAAACAAGCAATTACAAATTGTTCCATTACCCCCAGGATATGCACAAATTATCCCCAGTTTAAGAATCACTGATCTAGATGAAAAATCAGAGGATCTGCACAATGAAAAAAAATAGTTATTTATTTTGCATGCATATAAAAGAAAATATAGAGTATCCTCAAATTGCAAACATGAAATAACATAGTTTTATTCAATAGAAAGCTATAGACCTTGGGACCTTTGCCTAGAATCAGAATCAATGGAAGATTGCTCACACTGCTCTTTGAAAATATTATTTTCACTATTATTCACTATTTATAGTTTTGAATATGTCTATAACATCATTGAATCCCTGAGATGGACTCACTTCTAATTCATAAGCTCTGATCAAATGGAGACCTTGATAAAGAAATGTAAGTGGTACAAAAAAACCCAAGAAACTTTATTTGTCATCTGACCATATCAAAAAACTATAAAAACAATACAGAGAAAATAGTAGGACATGTTCATAATAAATCATCACCCCTACAGTTAACCCCAATCTATTCTAGGTAGTCTGTCCTCTTCAAAATGGCCTTTGATATAAAAATTGCTGTCTTGCTAGTGATATGCAAGTTCATTTCCTGCAAGAAGTAAGACAGTTTTTCTTGGATGTCCCAATATTTTTTAGTTTTTAAATAAGGATCTAAGTAAACTGACCTTTCTGCAGAATATACTTTGCAGTCAAACAGGATAGGTGCAGTGTCTTCAACAGCTGGTGCACCACAGATACACAGTCTTTCTTCAAATGGAACTCCATGGAACCTCCCATATCTTGCCATGTAATCTGTTGTTCAAAACGTGCCCTAGGGAAAGCTCTTCTAAGAAGTTGAGGCATATAAGTTGTTAAAATACTTTTCTGTCTGGGAGGCTAATATGTGTTAAGCCAATTACTTCAAGGACTTAGCACATTTATAAGGGATGCAATATCATCTTAGGCAGACATGTCCAAGAGCCTTTGTATGAAGCTTTTCTTGGCCTTCAGATCTGATTGGACTGAGAACTGAATGGAGAATCCATATAGTGAGATGGCATTTGAAAGTTGGACAGCCCAAGTGGAGGAGACATATTTAAGCGTCTGCTGTTTCAAGCACAGCTTGGGTAATCTATCTGGGTCCATAAATAAGATCTTCAGCCAATAGTTGAATATTTTAATTACTAGATTACTTCATATAGGGGATAGAAATGTAAGTGGTAAATGTGAGCATACACTCCTCCCCTCCATCTTTTGCACTATCAGGCTCCCTTAGCAGACTAGCTTCCCAGAAACCTGACATGGCACATTTAGAAACATACCATTATTGTACCATCCAAACTGAAGTAATTTCCAACAATTTATAGTCTTTGACAATTAAGACTAATATAGCACCATATACTATCTTGGATTCAAATCCATGTCCTCTCCTGACATTTTCATCAGAGTAATGGGAACTGTCCTCACCTTTCCCACAAAGTGATTGCTTACAATCTCTACACTTTTGTCTGGGAAACTCTAGCCCAACATACTGATTCTGATGCACATTTTCCTTAGAGATTGCAAATGCCTGATAAATATAACTATTTTTACTTTAAAAATGGAAGCAGAGAGGAAAAGGTCATAATTCAGGTATCTGCATGCAGTTTCGCTCTAACATGTTATGTGATATGTAGTAGCTAGAATTCATGTATAGATTTAATCTTAAATATCTGAGAATAAGTTCCTTGAATTGAACAGTTTTAAATATAGTTGTACTGCTGAAGTGTGATTTTGCCTCAAATGAACGGGGCCATAATTTTGTGAGCATCTTTCCATTGTCTGTCCATTACTTTATATAAGGTGGCTTACCCAAATGGAAATAAATTCATTCAGGGGTATGCCTCTTTTAGAGGGCCAGGAACTATGAACGTGGGGAAAATTGTACAGAAATGTTTATTTCAGGAAGTGTTTTGTATAATTTAAACAGATCTACTTGCCTACTGTGCAGAATTGCATGGGCTGACAGTAGCAATTTATTTCACATAATATATTTTGGGAGCAGCACTGATCCTTCAGTTGTGTTCAAGCTTTTGGCTTGACATCTGGCAACTTGAATCAGCTAATACTATGACTGAAAGGTATTCTGCAACATTAGGCCAGTTTGTTTAGCCTGATTGCAAAACTCCATATATAATTTCATAAGGTATATAAAGTTGTATTGGTTTTAAGATGCAGAATCCACATTTAGTAAAGTTCCACTCTTGTAAACTTGTGTGAAATGTTGGCCCTGGCAAAGAGCCTTGTCTTCCCATTAAGACATCATGTTAAAGGCCTCATCTGTTACCATATATGGCCTTGGTCAGTTCAGATAGCAGCCAATACTTGGCTGAACATGCTGAACTCATGTTTTTACCCACAACAATAAGTAAATAAATGCATTCTTGCATTGAATGATAATATGGGGAAAGTGGAAGAAAGTGTTTCTAGAAATAATATAGGAAGTTAGCAAAAAACGAACATTTATGGGAGTGGGATTAAATAACTTGCTTATATTTATGATAAAAATACTCATACAGCCACCATAAAAATAATATGGCCTCATCATAATAGAATAAAAAAAAAGGCAGTAAATGGAATCAACTTAAAGTTTAAATTTAGCAGTTAACATTTCAAGAGAAGCAAGACCAGACCTGGGTTGAGCAAGTCTTTTAATGTTGACACAAAGTACCCCGTAATCCAGGATACCAGAGCAAGAGTATCTTTCCTTCATTGTAACCAAATGGCTTCTAAGGAATTGGAAGAAGTGCCCCCTTGCCCCCCAAAAAACCTTTAAAGCAGTTTTGTGAGAAGAAAAGAGGCCTCAGTTAGAAAATGGCTAACAATCTTCTGCAAGTACAAGAGTTACTGGAGATTGATATATGAGTGAGTTTCAGAATATCCCAAAAGACCATAAGCCAAAGAGATGTTACAATTCTAAAGCCGAAATCTCCCAACTTTATTTGAATTCTGCCTGTGTCCTCTATTACATCTCTGCCTCTTGAAGCAAGATTTCTCTTAAGCAATACTTTGGAGGTGAATCTTTAGCCCAATTAGTATTTAATTAACTTAATTTACTATGACTACTATTTACTACACTCCAGAAGACTCTGGGCAGCTTACAAAATCCACAAAAAGAGCAGAACAATTAAAGCCCCCCCTCCCCCCTACAGGCAGTCCAGACTAAAACCACTAGAACAGCACAAAATAACAGTATGACAGGGGCTGACCAATGGATCGCACCCACATTAGCCCCAGGCCTGGGAACACAGCCAGGTCTTAAGGGCTTTCCAGAATCCCAGGAGAGTGGGTGCCATCCGTATCTTTGCATGGACAGACAGCAGTCTTCCTGGAAGTAGAACAAGGAAAAAAGCACATGAGAGGTGCAAATGTTGTTAGCCATATCCTTTCTTATGATTAGAATCTTGGTGGCTGTGCTCTGGTGTATCCCATAACACTCCTGCTCTACCCAACTATTGTTCCAGGCCATGAGGAAACCCAAAGCCTCTTGGTTCTGCTGTGAGGCGTTATGAAGACTCTACTCTGAAACTTTTATTTTATTTATTTATTTATTTATTTATTTATTTTATTTATTTATTTCAGAATTCTGTGGTAGCTCAAAATTTGTAGATTATTTCTAGCATCTCTAGAAGATAACTTCTATGACTGTTCAGCATGTTATTATGTTTGAACGTGATTTCTTACAATGGATGCATATTTTAATGTAGCAGTGCACACGATAGTTGTGCATAATGATATGATTGATTACTGGTGTTATCATTTTTACAGTCAGTCTGGAAAACTAGTCAAATGCATGGCTTCCTACATATTAATTATGTACAGTACATTCCACAGCACTGAAACATGTTATGTGAGATCATGTGTTAAACATTATAATGCATGTTTGCAATTGATTGCTTTCTCTTTTTATTGTTTTATTATACAAAATATCAGCATATTAAGGGCTTTGAGTGCACTGGTGCCTATATAGCTTTAACATTTGGCTTACAGGAAAACCTGATGCTTATTAACAGCCTTTAAAGTATCTTGAAAATTTTACTAATATGCTGGAATGCTAACTCCCCTGAAATAGTCTGCTTTTTTCATAAAACTCTAATCAAAACTGGGAAGTACCTCAAAAAAGACAACTAACAATGTGGAAAGTTTGCTGTTTGCTGAAATCTTACACTGCAAACAGAACAGATATTTCAGTTCTTTTACCATTTTGCATTGTTTTCTTGACAATAGTTAAGTCTAGATTTATAATTGTTGAAAGTCAGTTACATAGCTTTTTAAAAAAAGGAATAGTCCAGTTCACTTTTTAAACATAGCATACTCCTAAATATTTACAATATTTACAAACATCCAGGAATAATGAGGTAGTGATAAGAGAAACAAGGCAAGGCAGATGATTGTGAATGGAACATAAAAGATACATGATCACAGTAAAAGTGTTGTGTATAACTCTGTGTGTGTGTGTGTGTGTGTATGTACAAACATACATACGTACACCTGATATATACCTGATGGTCATGTAAACTTTAACACCCAGAATACTATGCTCATACTCGTACAAAAACCCTGTTTTTCCAGGATTCAGTCATGCATTCTCATGAACGCTTTCTAAATTAAGAGCATTCAACAGTTTGACTCTCAAGATGTGCAAGAGGAAGAATGAAAAAAGAACACTGAGTTCCATAGAATGTTCCAAAGATTCTGATTAAATAAATGTTTGTCTGGTTGTAATCAATCTCTTTACATCTCTGTTCCCTAACCTATAACAGCACTCAAATACATCTTTAATTATTGATGTTATAAATAGGAAAGTAGGCTGCACTCCACAAAGTTAATACAATAAACTAATATTAACTGGTTGATAGAGTGGATTGGATCCAAAGTATATTTACTGAAGTCAGTGGGACTTAAAATAGTCATGACTAATGTGACCAAATGGCTAAGTATGACTAAGACTGGAACCAACTCAGTTCAAGAATTACTGACAATGTTCATATTATAGATATATCTGCACATTACCACTTCAGTGTTAAATGGAAGAGATTTATCTAAAGCTAAGAAAAATGACTAAGATTTGTAATTCCCAGAATAACCATAGAGCAAATGACAACAGTCTAAATTATTTGATACACCTTCAGGCAATTCCTACATTCAGGATAAGGATAAGGATTTGAGGTTTTGTTTTAATGTGCTATGAGGCATATAAGGAAAATATTTTATTTAGGATCCACTTTGTATATTTAGCTATGCGATAAGATGCTTACATTCTACCACTCCAATAGTAGAATCATTTGATTAAATATGCAAGCAAAAAGCCTATGATTATCCAAAATATGGAAATGTCAATAGTAACATATTCTTTCTGTTTTAAACTATTAATTTAAATTTTAACAAGTCTTATTGCAAAATGCACAGATATTTGAAATGCAGATGTTTGGACCATTAGTCACCTTAATGATATCATTGGCATATTAATTTTAAAAAATACTTGTGTACCAATGCTTTGCATGTTTTGAAGGGGATCCAGAAATGGTGCATTGGAATGTGTGCAAGCATAAGTGCAACACCTCTTTAAAGAAGGCTTGCGTAGAAGCCTGAAAAAGACATCGCTGCTTTAAAGAGATGTTGGGCTTGTGCTTCCCCTCTTCTGAATTATTTTCAAAGCATGCACAGTCCTATTGTATAATACAGTATAATGTGAAAAATAAATTATTAAAAGGTTGGGGTCTGTGACCAATGGAATGTGTGGCCCTCAGCATGCCAGAACTGCATCTTCTCAGAATCAAATGCTTGGAAATAGAGCCCAAAACAGATAGCAAACTCCATCTAAATCCTAAAGTAAATCCTGACACAAGATTGCTGGTTGACAATCATATAATGCAGAATAATAGCACTCTACAAATGTGTCTGGAAATTCAATTTAATTATAATATAATATTTATTAATATAATTCAGGCTGAATTGCTATAGGTTGAACATTATTTAGACAAAATAGACACTGGTTTTTTTGAGGTACTTTGTAGTTTTCTTGCATTTTTTTTTAATGTGAAGTTCACTAAATGTTCTGTTTTTCTTCCTATTTTGTTCAATGAACAAACAGAAGTAGATGGTCCCCCTCACTAGATAGGAGAAGACCCACTAGTCCCCGGATTCATATCCAACATGCATCTCCGGAGAATGACAGGTACTAGTCAGCTCCTCCTAGCTGAAAAGTAGCTTGCTGAATCACACACATCAAGTTTCAACAGCATGTGTTTAAAGTTTCACTTTCCAGGAACCCAAATTTGCCACTATATGAGATGTTATCCTTGAACTTCATTCAATGATTATAAAGCACCTTTGAAGTCAGTGCAGTCACATGCTGAACAGCATATTTTGTGATGAACTCAACTCATAGTTGGCTGTCACTGGAAAAGTAAAAATGAGAAAATGTTCATGATTTATATAGGCCTTCCTATGTATCAATGTAAGTTCAATAAATCCAGATTTGGGACCTTGAGCAAGAGGGATAGCATTTATGAGGAAAATGAGGAAGAGGAGTGGTAAAGGATTCAGAATCCCTAGTGGATGAGGAACATGTTTCCCTTAGGCTTTGAGACTAAAGCAGAGAAAAACAGGTATTTGAACTTTGTAGTAGAACAAATTTTGCTCCTTTCTCTTTAGTCTCTTATGATTCTTCACAATAGTTACCTCCTATTCTATGGCAAGAGTATCACTACACTGATACTTTAATTTTGTGCTTTATAATTCATTGACCAAAAAAACCCAAAACAAAAACGTATGCATGTCTACTCAAAAGTAAGTTTCACTGAATTCTATGAGGTTTGTTCCCCAGTAAACATAAAGGTGATACCATAAGCTACTCTGCAAGACAGCTTATTAGGGAATAAACTCTGTTAGTACTGAAACTTATATCTGTATAAAAATTCCCTAGGATTACATTATAATATATGGAATTCAGCCTGTTTCTACAAGGGACCACAGCTCTGGAAAGTCTGGCATGCTGAACCTCAATGAAATCAGTGGTTTAAATCTTCCTAACATCAGGCTGAATTATGCCCTATATCTGTATGGCTCATAGTTCAGTTCACAACTGTGAGACATATTTTGTGTTAATGGGATATTTACAATTTTGTTCTTTGAAATTTTGGTGGCAGATATTCTGAGCAAGGCAACTGCTAAATTCCAGTGCTTTGGATTTCTCTTTATATGCTGATCGGCCAAATGTGATATATGTAAATATCATCTGTTGGTTTGTTGTTGTTGTATTATGATTTTATTCTTTGAATCTTAGTGCTGTCATTCTTGGATTATAAACATTTTTTTCATATGTTAAGTCCCTTGATTTTTTTCAAGTGAAATGCTCTTTTTAATTGGGCTGCCAAATTATACATTCAGACATCTTTCTTTTCAACTGTTCTGAATATCTCCTTGAGGCTTATAAGTAGAACTATGGCTGCAAAAATCCATGTTATCACTAAATAGCAGAAAAGAGACACTATTTTCTTTTATCTCTTTGCTGCAAATTATTACTTGTCTGGATTTTTGCAGTCCAAACCTGATAGCCCTCCTTATAAGTGATGGTGTTTATACCTCCATCATCAGCAATGCCTTGTACCACTGAAGTGCTCTAAATGCTTTGAGGATTCTCAGAAGCAGATTTGTGTGTGTATGCAAGAAAAAGAGCAAAGGGAAGTCTTGTTGAATGAAAGGACATCTACTTGACCAACTTTGGATTTAATACCCAAAGAATCGTTGCCTTGTTGCATTAATTTTACACCAAAGTGGAGAAATATGGTTGAATCCCCCAAGCATTGGGCTAGGATGGGCAGGCCAATAGTTTGGTTGGTCTGGCACTTGGTGGGAAAGGTGGTTTCTTGTTTTTTTCAGTAGTACATTCCTATAAAGAGGCTTCAGTGACCTAATCCCCTCCAGATGTATTTGAGATTACAATTCCCAGAAGAACTATCCATTATACATTTGTATTTCTGAGCATTATTGATTTTAGTCAGTAATAAGCCTTCTTTTAAATCTCCATAAAACATCAGCAAGGCAGTTTCTTTTATCATACACAATTATTATTTAATAACATATTTAAATAATACCTACCTAAATGGAAAATATGAAGTCTCTAGTTAAAGAAGTTAATCTCTGGAATATTTTCATTATCAGAATACTGCAGGTATTGAAATGGGCAATACCAATGTCAAACACTTTTTTCTTCATCCTAAGAAGGCTTTTTCTCTTATAAAAAGAATGGTTAATGTAGAAGTGGGCATGTTTTGTGTTACAGATAAAATTATTTTTGTGGGAAATGTTTATTAGTGTTGCCCAAGTGAACCATCTTTTTCAATCTTTTTATTAGAAGTCAAAGCATCAAAATTTAAATTAGCTTTTGAGCACAAAAACAGATAAGTTAATGGGCTAAATGTGTCTATAGCAGAGTTTAAAAACAAAACCAAAAATTAAAAAGCCATCAGTTCAGACATTGGCCAGATTATAACTCTCAGGTAGAAAAATACTAGCTGTGCCCCTACTTAAGCAACTAAATTGAGAAAGGGAGCTTAGTTTCTCCTTAGATATTGAATGAGAACCTTTTTACATGCTATAATCCCATTGTGGATCAACCAGGATTTTTATAACAGTTGAAAAATATTTGCTTATAAGGATGTTTATAGTAAGCAAACATCCATACATCAGTCCAAACTCCAAGAATGTTTCATTTTCAGCCGTTGATCTACAATGAAAACATTGGGCTCCATTGTTGTTGTTATGTGTGTGTGTGTGTGTCTGTGTCTGTGTATAACAACATAGAATATATATCTCAGCATAGAATAATTCTGATAAGACGTTTGCTCAGTACTACCCTTGCAAATTGAAAGCCAACCTTTGCATTCCACTGGAAAAAAAAATTGTACACTGTTTCTTTATTAAATTAGTATTGCTAAAGCAAATTGCTTTTGTCACAACATAAAAGAAAAATCAGAATACTGTCAGAACAAATATCCAGATTCTTAAAAGCCAGTCACAAAAATACATCACATGTACAGCTCTTGAGAGAGCATTCCACTACAAGTTGGCGGGGGGGGGGGGGGG